GATGGCTGTTATTGATCTCCACCATCCATCTTGAGGGGGAGTATTAAGACTAATAGATAGCTTATAGTTCCAACTGGCAGGGAATCTTATTTGTTATATTACCAACTGATTTTCCCGCCTATTTTTTCCCTCCATTTGTTTGCTATTTATATCTTGTGTACACGCCTTTTCTATTGAATAAGATCAGATATTTTCATCTCCTATATTCTCTCTGTTTTGCAATAAACTACGTAAGTTTGTGTTTTATTTCTCTATTTACTTTTTTACTTTTGATGTGTTTATTAGGTTGCATTGATGATTTTTCCCAACAATTTCTAACCTCTCCCTCCCCTCGGAAACTCTGATCATTTCATGAGATAGAACACAATGGCCAGAATTTCATTTCTTGATTTATGGATTTGAGTAATTCTAATAATCCATTTCTTGGACAGATTCCGAAATGGACGAACCAGTTTTGGAGTTCCCACCTTGAAAGTTAAGGATATTCCAACGATCGAGACGCATGATCCAGAGGAGGCATATCAGGCTATAGAGAATTGGGTGGAAGAAACAAAGAAAGCTTCAGGTCTCATTTTCTACACCTTTAATGAACTAGAAGAGCCCGTATTAGCCAAACTTGGTGAACAATTTCTCATGCCTACTTAACTACTTCTGCAATTGGCCCATTTCATTAATACTTCTCAGCTTCCTCGAGTAGTTATGGACACAAGATCGAACATCGATATCCTGGCTGGATACACAATATGTGAGTTTCGGGAGTGTTGCTGAAATGCATGAAGAAAAATTGAATGAAGTGGCATGGGGGTTGGCCAATAGCGTGCAACCATTTCTGTGGGTTGTTAGGCCTGGATTAGTCCATGGCTCAGAATGGCTGGAAATTTTGTCAAAGGAAGTCTAGGAGGCAATTAGTAGAAGGGGATATATATAGTAAAATGGGCTCCTTCAAGTTCTATCTCATCCTGCCACTGGTGGCTTTTGGACTCATAGTGGATGGAATTCAACACTGGAGAGCATTTGTGAACGCGTTCCAATGATATGTTTGCCTTTCTTTGGCGATCAGAAAGTGAATTATATATATCTGAATGATATCTGGAAAGTGGGATTAAGTTGGAGAAAGGGCTAGAAAGAGTCGAAATAGAAAGTGCGATAAGAAAACTAATGGTGGGGAAGGAAGGCGAAGAAATGAGGAAGAATATAATGTGTTTGAAGGAGAAATTATCTTTCTTTGAAACCATTCGGTTCTTCATACCAATCACTTAATAACTTGGTTGATTTCATTTCATCTTTCAGATCTACTGTTTGATCCTTCTTGATTGTGATTTTGTTATATTTTCTAGATCTCATTTGAATATTTCTCTAAACACTTGATTGCATAATTTTATAATTTTTTGTAAGCCTATAATTCGAGTCTTTCTCTTTGTAATTCTTAAAAGAGAAATATAAAATGAAAATTAGATATTGCTACATGTACACAATGATTTACACAAAAGATTACATAATATCACATGGCACCATACTATTTGCCAGCTTAAAACACAGTCAATTTTTTCCTCTACATCATTTTATATAATCTATTATGTACAAATAGCATAATCAATGGAAATTAGCCCAGAATGAATGATTTCTTCATTTCTCGAATATGAAAATTAGCCCAACAAGAGAAAACAATAATGTTTCTGTAAGTAAACTAAAGGACTCCCCTATCTCTTTCGGCTACAGAAGCAGCAAAGCTAAAGATACAATCAATTATTATGTATGACAGGCCTTTGACTGTAGTTATCACGTAGCCTGTCCTAGACAAAGGTTCCAATTGATTATTCAACCCAGTAATGTTATGTAGTTCATGTTAGCTCTTCATCACGGGGATGGTTGAGATTGAGGCCATTAGAGACGTGTAATGTTCAGCCTTATTTTGTTGACTAAATGATGTAAAGAAATCTTATGCAAAAAGGAAATATTTTTTATTAGCAGCAAAATGAATAGAAGAAGGCAGCCAGCCGCCTTTTCCATATTTTGTTGAAAATGAATATGGTGTAATTAATGAAGGATGACAAGTTTTTCGTTATAAATAGGTGATACGTTGAGAACTGTGATATATATATATATATATATCCAAAGAGACAGAGTGGAAGAAGCTAAATAGGAAAATTGTCGGTCAAATCGTACAATGGATTGATCAGTGTCTTCCATCACGTGGCACAAGAAACAGATGCATGTGTCCTCTGGAAGACTTTGGAGGACATTTACTAGGCCAAGACCGCTCGAAACAAAGCCCTGTTCATAAGGTGTTTGTTTAATTTGAAGTTGAAGAATGGAACTTCATTTGCTGAACACACGAGTGGATTCTAGAGCTTGGTGAACCTATTGTCATCTGTAGATATGTCGCTCGAGGATGAAATACAAGCTCTCATACTTCTAAGTTCTCTTCCTGACAGTTGGGAGACACTAGTAGTACCTCTCAGCAACTCAGCCCCTAACGAAAAATCTACTTCGTCTATGGTCAAGGATGCCCTATTTAATGAAGTGGCCAGTAGAAATGACGTCGACACAGATCAACCACATGTCTTGTCACAGAGAAGTGGAGAAGGCAACAAGTAGGCATTCAAGGCAGGAGGAGAGGCAGGAGCATAAGTAAAAGCATAACCATAGATGGAATGAAGCACACTTGAAGAAGAATAGCCAAAAATTGCTATGAAGAACAGGGCCACGACAATTCGTAATCAAAGGATAATAATGGAGAAACACCAGTCACTATTTTAGAGGAGATACTGCATCATCTTACCACGTCACTTAATATAGAGACTTCTTCACAACATTTGAAGCTGGCAATTTTGGTGTAGTAAAGATGGGACATATCAGTTCCTCCGAGATTGTGAGAATTGGTGATGTTCAAATACAAATGAACATCGGGTGTAAAATAACCCTGAAGGATGTTCGACATGTATCAGATCTTCAGCTAAATCTATTTTCAGGGATAGTCCTTAACAAAGGCACATGGAAAATGATGAAAGGTTCCATGGTTGTCGATCGAGGACATATATGTGGCACGTTATACAAGATTCATGTGAAAATGTGTGCAGATAGCCTTAACATAGTGGAACATGGGGCTTCTCAAAATCTGTAGCACCAGAGACTTGGTCACATGAGTGAGAAAGGGTTATCCACTTTGAAAAAGAATGACCTAATCACTGTTGCCAAGGAAGTTACGCTAGATCTTTGTAATCACTATCTATTTGGTAAGCAACATATAGTCTCTTTCAATTTCTCTTCGATGAGACGATCAAAGTTGCTCAGACTGGTATTGTGGTCCCTTGGAGGTTGAACAAATATTTTCTAACATGCATTGATGATGCTTCTCAAAAAGTTAGGTGTACTTCTTGAAGACCAAGTACCAGGTATTGAATTACTTCAAATTGTTTCATGCTATGGTAGAATGAGAAATAGGAAGGAAGCTGAAGTGTCTCCGCTCGAACAGTGGAGACGAGTACATTTCCAGAGAGTTCGATACCTACTACGAAAGCCATGACATTCGAAATGAGAAGACTGTCACATGCACCCCACAACATAATGGAATAATAAAGAGAATGAATCGAACAACCATGGAAAAGGTCAGAAGCATGCTCAGTATNAGAATGAATCGGACAATCATGGAAAAGGTCAGAAGCATGCTCAGTATGGCTAAGCTGCCAAAGCTATTATGAGGAGAAGCTATTCAAATCGACTGCTACCTAATCAATAGGTCACTGTTAGTACCATTGGATTTTGAAATTTCAGAGAAAGTATGGTTTGGTAAAAATCCCTCATACTCTCAACTTAAGAGAATTTGGTTTTTAGCATTGCACATATGTCCAATGAGCTAAGACAGAAACTTGATGCAAAGACCACTCCATGCATCGTTAAAGGCTATGTAAATGAGGAATTAGGATACAGATTATGGGCTCCAAAGACAAAGAAGGTTATAAGAAGTATAGATGAGTGTTCTATGAACATCANTCTCACCTGAGAGTATTCTGTTGTTTAGCCTTTGCACTTGTATCCAAGGAGCTAAGACAGAAGCTCAATGCAAGAACTACTCCATGCATCTTTATAGGCTATGGAGATGAAAAATTTGGATACAGATTATGGGATCCAAAGACAAAGAAGGTTATCAGAAGTATAGATGAGTGTTCTATGAAAATCAGACATTAAAAGGTATTGAAAAGTCCACAATGTCTCCTAATCCCAATTTTAGTGCCCAAGATATTGCTCCAGATCTAGCACATCACAATTCACCATAGATAATGATGAGGTGCGTGAGGAAATGCCAGAAGCATAACAAGAGAAAAGCGAAGAGGATATTGACCAGGGAGAGTCACAACCCTCTCCAACAAAAGCTGTAGGACCATCACATCGACTAAATGATGGTGCAGCTCCTGAAACCAGCAATCCACAATTACGAAGATTTGAACGAAAATGAATTCCCTCAACGAGATATTTAGAGTCTGAATACATTCTGCTTACTGATGAATGGGGACTAGAGAGCTTCAAGGAAGAACAATCTCATGTGGCTAAAGACAAGTGGACGCAAGCAATGTAGAATGAGATGAAGTCATTGCAGAAGAATGGGATATGATTTGGTTGAACTTTCAAAGGGAAAGAATTCACTGAGAAATAAACGGGTTTTCAAACTCAAGAAAGATGGCAGTAGAAAGGTGGTGAAACCCATTGGTAGTCAAAGGATTTCTACAGAAAAAGAAAATCGACTTTGATGAAATTTTTTCACCTGTTTTAAAGATGGACTCAATTCGAGCTATCCTTGGATTAGTAGCCAGCTTGAATCTAGAGTTTGAACAGATGGATGTCAAGGCAACATTTCTTCATGGTGACCTATGTGATGAAATTTATATGGAGCAGTCAGAAGGCTTTGAAATTTTAGAAAAAGAGAACTTCGTTTGCGAACTAAAGAAGAGCTTGTATAGTCTTTAATAAGCACCAATGCAATGGTTTAAAAAGTTCGACTCATTCATGGTTAGTCAAGGCTACAAAAAATTAGTTGCAGATCAGTATGTTTATATTCAACGAATTTCGGATGGCAACTTCGTTGCTCTTCTATTATATGTAGACAACATGTTTATCGTTGGACAAGATGCAATGAAAATCAGTCAGTTGAAGAAGGTTATCTCTAAGTCCTTAGACATAAAAGACTTATGCCCAACTCAACATATTTTAGGAATGCACATAACTCGAGATAGAAAGAATAAAAGGTTGTTGCTATCTTAGGGGAAGTATATTGAATAAGTGATAAAGAGATTCAATATACATGATGCTAAACCTATCAGCATTACATTGGCTAACCACTTCAAGTTGAGCAAGAGTTCATGCCCCTTATCTAAGAAAGAGATAGTGAAGGTGTCATTTGTACCTTATTCTTCAGTAGTCGAAAGCCTAATGTATGCAATGGTATGTACCATGCCAGACATTGCTCATGCAGTGGGCATGGTAAGTCGTTTTCTCTCTAATCCTGGGAAGGAACATTGGGAGGCAGTCAAGTGGATTCTCATGTACCTTAAGGGTACATCAAAGACATGTCTGTGCTACGGGAGAGTTGATCCAATCTTGGAAGGTTATATAGATTCGGATATGGCCAGAGATCTTGATAATAGAACATCTACTTCAGGATTTCTCTATACTTTTGCAGGGAGAGCTGTGTCATAGTTGTCAAGACTACAGAAGTGTGTTGCGTTGTCCACAACAGAAGCAGAATATATTGCAGCAGCAGAAGTTGGTAAAAAAACATGTTGTGGTTAAAGCGATTTCTTCAAGATTTAGGGATCAAACAGAAAGATTATAAAGTACATTGTG